GAAATATGAAGTAAAATATATTTACACCATATTTGGAGAAAATTAGGAAAATGCAAAGCAGCAACGCTATTTTTACTGGCTTTCGAAAAGAAGAAAAAAAACTTTTGTAGAAATGGTATGTAGGTGTTTATAAAATTAATAAATTGGGAAATTATAGCCTTACCTAACATGTCGTCGTAAAATTGTGTATTCAATCAAAAAAACAACAACATTCAATTTTCTAAAATTTACATTTAAAATACAGATGCATTTCTTTAAATTTTTAAAACAATTTCAAAAAACAGTGTTACATCCTGAAATTTCGAGATTCTTGGAAGGGCCAAATACTCTTTCGGGGCTGCAGTCACTTCCCCCCCTCCAATCTGCGGTTTTTCTTATTTAAACTCAGCTAGAGATATTAAATTCATTTTCAGTGGTTGCAACATTTACTTGAATATTTTACATATCAAACGGAAATCAACATTAATAAATGATTTCTTTTTTAATTAAATTTGAGATTGAGTTGAGAACACAATCGTTGTTCATCAATATTTCATGGAGTTTTACTGATTTCTTGTTGTTGTTTTTTTCAAAACTAGTTTGGAATGAACAAAACCTCAACCATCTTACAAGAAACAATCAAGTTGAAATTATACTATTGTTAAAAATACATAAAATTTAATATACAAATTGAAGAGTAATGCACATTTCCTAAGTCTCACATTATTCAAAACTGTATCAGAATACAATTTCTTAAATTATTTAAGAAAAATTAAAAAGCATACAAATAAAAAACTTGATGTGATATGAAGATTGAAAAGAAAAAATGAACAAAAAATATATGTTGTATTAACTATAAAAATCTCAACTGGACTTCACATAACTTTCAGCAAATAATAAAAATATAAATTGAATAGGGTGAGATTCATAGATTCTGATTTATTGATTTCGCGTTCTATATTATCACTGTACCATAGCAATATTATCATTTTAAAATTTCACTGTATCATTTATGCACTAGTCATACAATAATCCTTTAGATTTTATTTTCAAACTTTAAAGAGAGTTGCAATAAGCAATATGACACGCAACATCTTCTAAGTTTAACTGTTTTGTGTTTCAAAAACTATAATTTTCAACCTTGCTCATTTCCTATTGCAAACTTTTATGCATTTTACGTAACATTTTATCTTATATTTAATGTGGTAAAAAGTTAATGATTTCTTTTAATTTCTTAGATTTATAAATTTTAACAAACAAACAAACAAACAAACTATTTAACAAACTTACATTTTCGATTTTTTTTTTTTGAGGAGTTAATAAAATTTTGGAAATTTTTTCGTAAAATAACTTCCAAATAGCTAAGTGAATTTTTTATTTAACAAACTTTTCTTTGAGATCCTGACTTTCCCTATTTCAAATTTGTTAATGCATTTTATGGGGGAAATGTTCTTGAATTGATTTTCGCAGTCACTTAATTTTTAGAGAAAGCAATAAAATCCTTTTCCCTTTTTGTTTGCATTTCAAATGATTTATAAAATAAATAGTAGATACTAGTTTACAAGATAAAGGTGTATCAATTGCTATTTTAATTATGTCTAGCGTTTATAAATTTAAAACCCAGTTTTGTGCTGTTTAAGTATTTGAAAAGGTGATTTTTTGCTTAATGAATTTTCCATATAACGAATTTGCTATTGGGATTTAGCGGCTTTGTTAAATAGAGGTCCGACTGTATAGATATGATTATCTTATGATAGGGCATTTTTAAACTCCGTTAAAAAAATATATATATTTCTTCCCAGAATTGTAAATCAAATTACATTTTATTATTACTGAGGAAAACCATCCCTGGAAAGATTAAATACAATACAGCAAATGACTCTTAGATATGCTTATTTTTAAAAAGCTTCAAAAGTTTTTTTTATTTATATCTGCATTAAAAAATTAATTTTTGAAAGCTGGGCAAAATGGAAATATATAAATTTACTTAAGTAAGAGAAGGATAGTCGGTATTAATATTAAAATTTATTCAATTTTCATTTTATTACTATTGAGAAAAATCACCCCATGGGAAGATTAAAGCTGGCAGATATGTGCTTTAATCGTACATGTAATCACATATTTTTTAACAATACAGCAGATAACTCTTTGATACGTTTATTTTAAAATTTTTAATGAGCTATTAAATAATTTTTAAAGACTAGGATTGTCTGTAATAGCAGTAAAACATAATTACAAATAAAAGTATCAGAGGGATAAGATAAAGGATACAACAAAAATGTGGTTAAGCTTCAATTTCCGATCTTTATTAATGCCTTTGCACGAATAATTATTCAAATTATTATAATATATATATATATCCCTATCAAAATCTCCCAATTCATTTCTTAATGTCTGCGTAAGACTATCTACCTTGCTAATTAATTGCCCACAATCAAAATGCTCGTCATTTTGTTTTGATTTAACAAGGAATAAAGATAAAATAACTCATAATTTATGTAAATATTTAAACATTGCTGCCTTTATGAATGTTTTTTTTTAAAGAAAACAATCATATTTTGCGTTACACGTAAAGGGAAACCACGAAAATATCATTCAGATTGTTGACGCTTGAAGAGTTCCAGCGAAATGCTCAGTAATCGTAATGAATTTTTTTTATATAATAAATCATTTTTTTTTGCGTCTTTGACAGACAGTCAATTATTTCGGTGATTAGCGAGATGCTCTTCATATTTTTTGTAACTTTAAACTCATTCCAAAAATCAAAGTAGCGTGCAATTTAAATATCGGCGTAAAACAATGTTTATAAAAGTTATTAAAATAATTTATTTTAACCAAGATTAAGTTGAAATTAAAGTAATCAAATATTGCGTTAAATGCAAAGGAAAACCACGAAAAATTCTTTCAGATAACTGAACAATAATAAGATTACAGCTAAATGTTCATTATCGCAATGAATTATTTTTTTAACCATTAATTTTTTTATCATTCTTGACAGACAATTTGTCATCTTAGTGGATGTTGTGAAATACTTTTCTTATATTTTTAACTTTTAACACGACTCAGAAATCAAAGTAACTTGCAATTTAAATATCAGAGTAAAATCATGTTTATAAAAGCTTTTGTAGTAACCTATATATTATTTAAAATTAAATTAAAATTTAGACAAATCAAATGTTGCGTTAAATGCAAAGGAAAACCACGAAAATGTCTTTTAGATTGCTGAACAATAATCGCATTACAGCTAAATGTTCATTATCGCAATGAATTGTTTTTTTAACCATCAATTTTTTTTATCATCCTTGACAGACAATTTGTCATCTTAGTGGATGTTGTAAAACACTTTCTTATATTTTTAACTTTTAATACGACCCATATATCAAAGTACCTTGTAATTTAAATAGAGGAGTAAAATCATATTATGAAAGACTTTTTGAATGAAAATAATTAGAATTTCCATTACACACAAATGAAAACCAAGAAAACGTTTTACTAGCAAACTAATTGTACGCTAACAGGCTATAATGAGACTATATCTCAGCAATTATTATCATTTTCCAATTTATTGTGCTAAATATGAAATTTAATGTTTTGACTAGCTTGGAATGTTTACTAAAATGTTCTTTATTTAATTTATTTATTAATTTTTTGTAAATACATTGTGTTTCATTTTATTTGAAATATTTGAATTTCAGAATGATATAAAGAATTAAATTTTAATAACATATTAGTTTTTTTTTTTTAAAGTTTAAAATTTTACAAATTATAAATCTTTAAAAAAATCTGGAAAAAAAAATGTGTCAGAAAATTTGCAAATTTCAAATTTTTCTGGCAATGAGACTGAATGTTATCAATTATTATTAAACATTACAACTTATAAGAATCAAATGAAAAAAGAACAAATTATGTACAGCTGCAATAAACAAGCACCGCAGTTCACTAGAGGGCGTGGATATAGAGTACAAACTAGTTACTAGACCAGTGATGTCAACGTTCACTGTGACGTCCGTTTGGTCGAGTGATTGATCTTTTTGCCTTTATATCTATGGCTGCCACTCAAATCTGGAGGAAAAAAATTCCCTGTACATATTATACACAATATATTAAGAGGAAACAATTACTGTGCTCTTGTGTCAGCTATATTGTGCTAACTATATTTATCAGTTTTAATTGCTGGAAAAACACCTGAACATATTTAAATAATGCTACAGTAAATAAAATAGTTTAGTATAGCTAAAATATCATGGTTAAATATCCCATAGATAACGCTTTGAGTAGTCACCATTTTTTAAAAGACAAAAATATGAAAGAAAAATTCCCAGCATTTTCCCTGTTATTTTAGGTGATTTTTAAATTCCCTTTTCTCCCTGTGGAGTGGTAACCGTGAATTATATTTGCTATGACAACTTATCCGAACGTTACGACACATTTTAACACATTGTTTTCCCTACAATAAACTAACGGGGAAAAAAGGACATTTGAATTTCAGAAAAATTCACAGTGGAATTAATATGATTAAAATGTCTAAGAGAAAAAGAGTGAAATGCCATTTGCAAGTACCTCAAAAATTTTATTTAAAACTAAAGAAAAAAAACTACGAAATAACTGAAGAAATGGAAGCACATCAACATTTCTGTTGCGAGACTGCAACTTAAAAAATAAAAATGATACCAGAAAAAAAAGCTTATGAGAAAATTTCTACATATCTTCAACTTGTGCTTATTGAAAGAGAACAAATTTCATATAAGATTTCCTAAAATGCTCACAAATGCATGGTATATAAATTCAATTTATTTAATAAAAGATGTTAAATATCAGAGAATGTTATAAACAAATTTAGAAAGAAGAAAAAAATTAACAGCAATTAGAAAACAAAATAATTCATAATAATAAAAGTTTGCTCTTTGTGATCAATCTATTTATGTTTCAAATAATGTTAACACTTTTTTAAAAAGTAACAAAGAGAATTGGCAATTGTGTGGAATCAAGCTATTGTTGTAATGAGAAAAAAACAATGCAGGTACAAATGTCCGAGTTCTATGGCAAGAACATTTTAATATGACATAATTTTAATCTAATTTTCTCATCACGTTTTCATAATTACAATACAAATTAAAGAGCAGCCGCTCCAGAAATGATTTCAATCAGTTCTCTAGTGATTACAGCTTGTCGAGTACGGTTGAAAGTCATTGTTAATTTGTCAATCATTTCACCTGAAACGAGAAATTTTTTTAATCAAGTACTTTCAAAACAGCAAAAATATATTTTAGTATACTCTTTATCATAATTAGTGAAAATAAATGGTGAGACTTTTCAACCTATAAGAATATTAAGTTAAGTTTTTAGATCCAAAAACCCCGGAATACAATCACCCCTGTTTTATAAGACTCTCGACAGCCAACTTTAACACCAACTTCAGTAATCTTCAAATGCTAATGGAAAATTATTTTCCTATCGTTGCTGCCATCTGCTGGTAACTTCAGAAGATACAAAAAAGGACTTTACATAAATTTGGGTACAGTAGTAAGGGTTACAAAGGGGGGGGGTCAAACAGAGAGAGGGCAACACTGAGGAGCTGCTTTATTTTGTCTGTTATGCATATGTTCCCTTGATCACTTCCCGAGTTTATTTGCAGTAATAAACAGAGAATTTATAAATTCAGTTATTTTAGAGCACAGAAGTTCAATTCTTTACGATAGGTAAACTTTTGAAAATCTAATAAATAAATAGCAAGGAGAAATAAAAATGGAACCCTAACAACTTTCTTTTTAAAGTGAAGTGATTTTTCTTACACAAAAATACTAAAGTAAAATATATTGCTGCTTTATCTATGATTAGAATGCACAATCAAAATTGCAAAATGGAGATTTCAAATTCATGTCATAAAAATATCTGACTATTGCCAACTAGAATTTGATTTATTTCATACAGAACCCTATTCAAGAGAGTCTTTGCTTTGTTTTCCAGTATTTAATTATATTTATTTATCGAAAATAAGCTCTCGTGGAAAACAATTTCACATTTCAAGAATATGCTTCCTAGAAAGAGGAAGAATCAATGAAATACTTTGTGCTTTAAATCATATAGTTATTTCCTGTCTTTTTCTCTACCCCCTTCAAAATTTTAATTCGATGTCAATCTCACATCGCCACAAAAAGACTATGTCCCAAAGTATGACACACATTAAATAACAAATTGATGAATAACATAAAATATAAAAATTGCTTTCGCTTTAAATGGCGATTTTAAAGTGACATACTAATTTGTGTGAGAAAGCATATAAATTGGAATAATTATATTTTGACACAAAACCCACAACTTTTAAATCACTTCCATTTTGACATCCCATTTTTTCATGTCATATACTATGAGTTTAAAGTATCGTTGTGCATTGAAAACATAAGCCTCTTAGTGAATAGGGCAACCTTTAAATTAAACTGGGTTTAAGTTTTTCTTTTTTTTTGGGGGGGGGGGGAGGAATGCTGGATATTAACAATGATACAATGTCATCCTAAACAGCAACAATAAAAGTCAAATATAAGTATTCCATTTTTTTTCTTACATATTATCACTTGATTAATATTAATACTTTAAAAATTCACTAAAAAAAAAAACCCAGACATCTTTTGATATCTTGGAAGGACATAAATAGTTACTATTTGATGCCCTTTTTCAAAAGTACCTAAAACATTGCCAGAAAATAATATTTCATGGGTGGAGTCAAATATGAGTTTTTTTTAAAAATAAATATTATTATATATTTCGAAATTATTGTAAAGGAAAATTATGACTTTCTTTTTGAATCTTGTAAAAATAAATAAATAAAAAATTTCTAAATATTTAATTGATTTTTTTTTCTTAAACTTAAGAGTTTCAACTGTTTGAAACTGATGTATGGAGAGAATGCAGTCTATACTACCAAGTCTCTTACAAAAAGTTATAAGAAATTATAACCACTTTTTCCTACTGAAAGAAAATATTTTAACAATTTTACAATTCCAGATTTTCCTTGACTAATAGGAATGCTGATATATACAGAAACAATACATAAAAAATTTTAAAATCACAAAAATAAATGACCTAAAAAAAGGTAATGCTGATATTTATGAAAACAATGTATAAAAATTTTAAAATTACAAAAATAAGTAAACTAAAAAAAGGTAAAAGAAATGTAGTAGTGAAAAAAAAGAAAGAAATGGTGACATTACCGGCATTCTTGCTGGCACCATCCATAGCAGTCATCCTAGAGCTTTGCTCAGTGCATGCATTCTCTTTCATGGCATAGAATATCATAGATGCCAGTGAGTATTCTTGATAAGACTTGATCACATCAGCATCTAAACTGTCATATATGCTGATCTTCTCAGCATTGGAAATTGCATCAGCGCTGAACACTGGAACTTCGGTAGTTTGATAAGAAACTACTGATCTGTAAGATGAAGAATCAAAATAAATATAGTCAGAAAAACAAAAATATTTTAAAATATTTATATTGCTCAGAATCATTAATGATCTTCTCAATGCAGTGACACTTAAATTTAAAAAAATACTAATTGCCCATTTTAATAGATTAGGATTAAAACTACCAAATAGGACTATTTATTTCCATATAAATCTTATACTAACCCAAGCAATTTCAAGATAGATTAAAATTGAGATCTTTTAAGTACAAAGGTTAGATTCAGGATTTCCAGTCAGAGTCCTGTTTTGTAATTTTGAGAAAAACAATGCAAAATTTCATGAAAAATAATTTCTTTAAAAACTTAAAGAGAACACCGGGAGGAAAAACTTTATATGGCAAATTCTTTTTTGCCTCCATTGATATTTTAAAGTTTAGAGAAAAGTTATGTTAGGCAAATTAAGCATGAAGTTAGTAAAGCAGGAAATTTTAAATTCTGAAAAATATATTTTTCAAAATGTAAACTGATTATGACGGGATACCCTGGTTTTAAGTAGACCACTGTACCCCATGTTTAGGGTTTCACAAAAGATCACAATTATTTTTCTTAATATAAACTTAAATAGCTTAAATTAAAGATCTAACCTTGAAAAATAATTTATTATTCAATAAATTTCAGAAGGTAAAGCACTTAGAGTTCTAAAAATCACTTGGCAGTATTAAATAACTTATTGAAATAAAAAAGGCTTATTTTAACTGTGCTACGCAAATCTTTCATTGATTTGTAGTGCTAGCAAAGGACACAACAAAATAAATAAAAATATTCAGTAGTATTAAAATAATTGAGCCTGATCACAAGTGCACATAGGTCCAACCTACCTTGCCTAATATTTAATAAGCTATGTATACTTTAAAAGTTAGAAAATTGAATAGACTAACTAGTCACAAAAAAAAAGGGGAAATTAAAGTACTGTATAAGTTTGATTTCTTCAATCAGTTAAATACTATATTATGACAAGGAAACTAAGTAATATTTAATAAGGAAAAATCTAAGGGAAAAAAACTATTGCTTTGTTTTCCACTTCAATTAGTTAAACATTATCTTAATAAGAAAAACCAAGGCATATTATTTTATAAGAAAGTATTAAGTAAGGCAAGTAAACTATTTTATATTTATAGAGTGATTACTAAAATTGGTTAAATATTATCACAATAAGGAAATTGAGGAAGTCAGGGCATTAGATAACTACAACATTTCATAGACTCACTAAATTTTCTTACTTGAATCTATTGAATATTATCAATCCCTTCTCAAATGTGAAACCACAGTTGATAACATAATCAGCAACCATAGTAGCATCTTCAAACGTTGGAGGCTTTTTACCATAATCAGAATATACAGCCATGATATTTTGACCAAAGTGCCTAGTGAAAAATAAACAAATATTTTTTACAGTTTTTGACTTCAGCTATGATTAGGAATTGTGAATAAACTTATTACAAATAAATTAAAGTGTTTCCATCCAATATTGCTGTATTTGCTGTCAAGCTAATAAAATAGACAAAAAAAATTTATCGAATCTATAAGCATTTATTTACAAACTTTAATCATTGTAATAATTATGAAAAATAAAAGTTCCTCAACTTAATCAGGGGAAAGCTAGAAACTTTAGTTTTTAATAAGATCAAGAGAATTTAACATTTAAATTCTGTAAATTAGATGTGCCATGTAGCTTGAAGAAATGAGAATCATATTGAAATAATATTCCTCTGACAATTGATTCCAGGAATGATGTTTTTATGAAATTAGAAAAGCAGCTGATGTTAAATTGGAAGAAAAAAAATCACTAAAAATTTGAAACCTAATCTTTTCAAAAATGTTTGAATAAATCAATATATATAATATAATACAGGCAAGAGAAATGTAAAAAAAATAAATAAATAAAAAATTAATAAATAAATAAGATAATAATAAACAGGAAAATAAAAATAAAAGTCGGAACACAACAAAGTGCTCCTTCATTTTTTTTAAAAAGTTTACTTTCTTTCTTACATGATTTCTATAATCTGATCTTCATTAAATCGGAACAAAACAATTGACTTTTCTTTTAATTTTTACATACACGCAGAACATTTTAAACACTAAAAATAAAATAATAAGTAAATAAAAAGCTAGTTTTTTGTCAGATTGTTTAGTAATATTGCGTAAAGTTAATTCCTAATGACAGTTTTGTATTTATAACTTTAATTGCACAGATCTGACTGAAAACCATTCTATATAAAGTTGATTATAAAAGTAATGTATAACTTATTCACTGTTAAATAATTGCAAGAAAGTTAAGCTACATACAATTTTCAATGTATTTCATAAAATGTTACATAATACATAATAAAGAAATATTAAGAGATTATTTCAAAATACTAATACCAATTGCAGTTTCAAGCCTTTAATTTGGAATAATAAATAAAAATCAAATTGTAGTAATAGTAGAGAATATTAAGAAAGGATGATAAATATTGCAAGTAAATACTTCTAAATGAAGAATAAATAATATATAAGTAAAATATATTTTTGGCTAATTTTATGATGAAGGCAACAGAAGAAATCTAGATAATTTTGTTAATTATGGAATCCTACTATACAATTATCTGGCCAACAGGAATAGGCTGAAAACATTGATAATTGTTTTAGCCATTTTATTTATATTATATTGGGCACATGCTCCGCACCAAGAGACTTTGACTGTGTTGTTAAGAAGTACTGGAGAGCTAGACGACTAATGCCCTAATAGCCAATGGCTGGCATTTGTTTAATAATAAATAATTTATATTTTACATTGAGAAAGAGAGCATTTTGGATAATTGTTGCACCTATAAATTGACAATAAAAACATCTTAATGCAAAATTTATAAATTGTCTTTTGCATATTTAGTACAATAAAAACATTTTATAAAAAGATTTATTGCAACAATTTAAATAGCATTAAACTAAGCCCAGCAAAAAAAAAGAAGAAGAAAAGCGAAATATAAAAATAAAAAGCAGAACGATGTATAGTGCCTGGAAATAAGTAGGGCCCATATTTACCTAAATAGGATTTAATTCAACATAACTCACTGATAGTTAAGCAAAATTTCATACAAAGTTCCAGCTCAACTTTTCAGCATTAATTCTTCTAATATGCCCTTATAAATGATTTTATTATACCATTCACTTGTAACAATTCTATTAATAGAAAAAAGGAAATTATTATGCCTAACTGAATATCTAGCTGAAGGACATGGAGGACTTTTTGATGGAACTAACTTAACACAATTTACGCTACATAGAGAGAAAAATCACAAAAACCTTCCACAGTTAGGACGACAATAAAGGGGATTCTAACCTATGATCCACTTATGATGTTTTACATGGCTCTTTTATAAACTATTCGAGCCAGGCATCTGTCACTGCTTGGACTCGAATCCGAGTCCCCTCACTGGGGGCCCTAAAACTCTGCACCTCAAATGACAATTACTCAATTACTTTGCTTTCGATGGGTTTTTTCAGGTGAATTTTTTCTCCATGTGGGGTTTTTTTTTTTCAGTTGACCCACTTTGGCAAGCCTTGCTAATGTTCAACCAAGGAATGCATTAAAATCCTTCTACAACAATTGTCAAATTGTTCAGTAATTGTTATAAGACTAATCACTTCAAATAAGAGGAAAAAAAATAACCTTCTTAACATAGCTCTACTCTTGTCTCCAATACAGATAACTTTCATATCAGAAGAGTCAGACACTTCACTAATCATAGCACGAATCCTTTTAGCCACACTGCTGTGAACAGCACCACAGAGACCCCTGTCTGATGTCACAGCAATGATCATGGTCCCGGGTTTAGATTCATCGGCTTTAACTTCTGCTGAGTCATAAAATGCTATTTTCAAAAAAATAAATATAAATAGAATATATTAAAAAATACAGACTATTCATAGGCTGAATCATAAAATGTTATATTTTAAAAAATTTTTTTTGATTATACAGTGCAACCTCGAAAATCTGGACTACTGGGGGGTTTGGAAGGTTCAGATTTCCGAAATTTCCGGATTTTAGATACGTTACTTAAATTGATAGAATTATCGCACTCTCGAATTCGCCAGGCCGATTTCACGCTTAAACACGCGTGCATAGACCTCCAACGTCAACTTTTAAAACTTAACATAAATATACACTTCAAATAATAAATAAGAGACATTAAAAATCAAACTTTTGTCATTTCCCCCCGTAATTTCCTTATCAGCTATGAGCTTTCATTCACTCCCCACCCCTACCTCTTCATCTACTGCATCATTGTTGGAGTTTTACACTTTTACATTTTTATTTTAAGCTATTTTTCTTTTAGAAATTTTTTTCTTGCGGACTGGACGTAAGAGTCCGGATTTTAGAGATTTTCGATTTCTTGCTGTACTAAAAAATACAGGCAATTCATAGACAAAGTACGCATCTGAATAACAAACATCAAAATTTGGTTCTTGTAAAAATGATCTAGTCAGAAAGAATGATTGTCTACCTTGATTCATAAAACCAGGATGTATGAGAAATTATTTATAGTTTACTGAAAGCATATTAATATATAAATTTTTATAAACGTACGAATATGTGGCATATGATAAGTTAATATCATGTTCCTGACAATGTTAAATTATATCAAAGTAGAAATTATAATTATAATATCAATACCATAACAAGAAAACACTTTTGTCTCTTAAATTGAATAAAAGTTTATTTCCCTCACACTTGCTTAACATGAAACTACAATTGAAATTTTTTCTACAAAATAGGGAAATACCAGAATAAATTATTTGTTATTAAAAATGCTACACAAATCATTAATAATAATAAATTTAAATATACGTCTCTAAGATGAATTTTAGTCATTTAACATAATAGTTATTTGCGATACTTAGAAAAAATGAATAAAATAAGTCTTACACTTTGTGCCTTCACCAAAGGGTTTAGCTTGCCTCAGTTCACGTTCAGCTCTAGCATACTTAGCAGCTGATACCATCTTCATACTTTGAGTAATCTTCTGTATGTTGCTTACTGATTTCAGCCGCATTCGAACTGGAAACAAAATCACATCATTGAGCAACAGTAAATAAAATAAAAAATTATTTAAATCAGATCACCCCCCATTTACCAATCAAAATTCTGAAAAATTGTTTTAACGAAATTTATTACTCAAAAACAATATTACAGTGAAACCTCTCTGTTCCACAGCAAAATGGTTATTAATGGTAGGGTTACTTTCATTCACTTTAAAATGTTACAACATCTTTTGCAAACGATTTTAATTTTCTTGGTGTGGAAATGCCACTTGTGTTGGCATCATGACGAATGGTTCAATGAATAAAATAAAAATTAACTCTACTGATTTAATAATGTGTTAAAACAAATTTACCAATTAAGAAATATTCCAAATAAAGAAAGAATTATGTTTTTTTTTGTTTAAGTTAGCATTGAATTTTGTATTATAAAAATTAGTTAGCTCCAAAAGATGAGAAGAGGTTTGTTTGTTTGAGATGCTTAGTTTCTTCTAAAATAACTTTTTTTTTTAGTTTAACTTTCAACTCTAAAAATAAATTATTGATAGTGCAATCTGACTGCAACATGTGTAGATATCTTTCAGAGACTGCCATAAAGAGCTCTCTAAATAGTAGCCTCCCACAAATATTTTGAATACATTTTTAATCTACTTATTTGCTTTGATATTTTTTTGTGTTTCCACACTTGACTTTTTCTCCATTTGACACAGAGGCTTTCCCGGTCGCCGGGAGAGGTTTCAATGATCTCTCCCAAAGGTTTCCTTCAAACGCAAATCTATGGAAAAATTATTAACAAATCCATGAAAAAACTATTTACTTTTACCTTTCTTTTTTAATTAAAAAGAAAGGTAAAAATCTTAACTAAGAATAATTCAAAACTCTGGATAAAATTCCTAATAGCATATAATTGATGTTAAAAGCAGGTTAATAGTATGCTTTAAAAAATAACATACATGAAACCTAACCTTCTTTTACTACACTGTGAAATCCCTTTAACCAATAAATAAAGAAAAAAACTACTCGCTATAAGAATAATTAAAGAACAAAACATGATTCAAATGCAATGTTAGGAAAATATCCAACGATTAAAAAAAAGTAGCATGAAAGAAAATTAAAATTATAACTTAAAAAATCTCTTGATAAGAAAATGTTCAATATTTTATGTACCAAAAAGTAATTAAAAACATTTTTCTAATTACCATGGAAAATTCTAAAATTTGGAGGAAAACAAAAAATTATATGGATAAAATTATTAGCTGCATTTTTAATATTTAGCATAAAGGAAAGCAAAGAAATATGTAATTAAAAAATATTATTCGTAAGAAAATTTAAGAAACTATCATTTCACAAATAATTTGCCCTAATTTATTCTTTTTCTTTTGAATTTAACTAAGCAAATTTTAAATGAATGAAACTCCAGAATGGTTAGAAAATAATTGAAGACAAATCATTCTCGGTATGTAAGAACAAAATCATGCATATTACTTACTATCCTTTAAGGTTGCCATATTCCTGGTTTGAATAACGCTGAAAATAATAACAGAAAAATTAATAAAAAAAACTTGATATTAAAATATGCAAGTCAAGGCAAAATGAAAAAGACAAACTTAAATAACTTTAGTTCTAAATATCAAATTTTCAAAAACTAATTGCCAATATTAATGGTTTGAAAGGTAGAACAAAAGTATATAGATTAATGAGTGATAACTATTAAATTACAGATACAGACACAAAAAAACATACTTTCTCTGAAAAAACATTAACCTCCTTTTGATGGATTTAGTTATTTGGCATTCAAAATAAATGAAACAAAATAAGCCAGAAAGTAAAAATAAAAGAAAAAAACTAAATCCATTGGGGAAAAAAGTTATGTTTATTCAGAGAAAGTAAATCTTAGTGTCAGACTATGTAATTTAGTTAATAGGCTAACACTAAGCAATTGACATATCCTATCTGAGCTCACTCTTTTGAACCATCAAAATCGGCACTTAGTTCCTCAGAGTGATATCTTTTTTATTTTGCCATCCTCTTTTAAATGGAAAAACTTTAAACCATAGTTAGACAACATAGAAGCCCTCCAAAAAAACATTTGCTGGGGGAAAAATAAAATATGAAGCAGACAACAGCATAATTAATGAAAGGTAGATGGAGGCTGCATACGTGATGTGACCAAAAAGAAAACTGCCAATTTAGCCCTAAAATTAGTGATCCCACTGTTAGGGGAAGAGCAAAATTGACATTACTATTGCTTTACAATGAAAATAAACGACTAAGGTAAGAAATCCTTTAATGTAATTTTATTTATTGATAAGAATGAGACACAGTTGCCCAAGTTTAACACAAAAAGTTAAATATGACTTTCGCAGTGAAGAATTACAGGAGCAAAATTATTAATATTACTTAATTCTTAACATGATAATAAATACTTAACACTAAACATACCAATACTTTGAAATACAACAAGACTGATCTTTTGACTGGTTATGGTATGCTTAATGTTAACATGAGTGCAGTTCTTCAATTTCATTTTAATTTGGGATTATTTAAATTAATCTTCCTCTGATTTTCTTAATTTTAATGTGTATGTATATATGCATATTTTTGTCAGAAATAAATAAATATGTTAAATGTTTGTCATTTTTGTAATGTTATAAAAGCATTCTGTACTAAAAAAATATCATGAGCCTGCAGAAACTTTTGGGTTGTGTGCACCGATACTTAACTTTTTTTTTTTTTTAATCTTTCTATGATTAGGTGCCCATTGAAAGAAATGGGCAATTCTTTTTATCAGCAATCATATTTCAGCAAAATGAGCTGCCATATAAAATGGCCAAATGTACAGTAAAATACTAGAGTTGTTGTACATAAAAAAAGATTTCTCAGCCTGGCAATCAAATTTAGCACATAGCAAAAGACACTACAAAACAACCCAAAATAAAAAATATTTTATAAAATAGCATATTTAAAGGCCAAATGCAAACAATTAATATTTCAAAGATTATAATTATAGGTTGTAAATTTTTACTTAAATAATTACAAGAGTATAGAAGCCCCATTAGAGATGGATTAATAAATTATAGGTGCTAATTGAAATCTATCAACATTTTTTCTATGTGAAATAATTTATAATTATGAAAACATAAAACTACAGAATTCTTATGCAAAGAAAATGACATATAGGATTGTGTTGCAACTGGAAACCTCACATATCATTTAACTAAAGTCTATTTGTGTACAGTTGGGTGTTGCTTAATTTGTTTTACCATTTCATGAACTACTAATGTTTCTTTATGTATTACTTGTTTATTCCTGCAAAAATAGCAGGACTCTGTCGACCGCAGTTGTTTACAATATAGCTTAATAAGTAATTTCATTTCCAACTCTATTAACTTTAGAAGTTGGTTGAAATTTTAAGTTGGTCATACAACTGTACAACCACCGTAAACATGGTGACCCTTGGAAAATGAACCTTTTACTGTCTATTAAGTCTTCTATTTTCCTATTGTTTAAATCTCAATTACTTACATAACTGATGTGTAAATAATGAACAAGTTATATTGAGTATAAACATCACAAAGCTCAAGATTCATAGTTAAATTTAAGTTAATAATTAAAAACATCGTGAGGAAACTTAATAAAGTAAATCAAGATGTTCAGTTTACCATGGCGAGAATATAATTGCTTTTGCTGCTGAAAACATAGTGAAAATTTTATTAAAATAATTTTATAACTCCAATGTTTATCAAAAATCGAAGACCGACGACGACCTTGTGGTACTTCGACTTCGATGTTACAAATATTGCCAGTTGAAACAACTAAAGTCTCACGCGATAAAGCTTATTTTCACTAAAGCAAACTAATTTGTTCATTTTTCCGCAAGTTCCTGTTTTAAGAAAATAAAATAACTAGAGCTGCACAGTGGGCTATTGGTGACGGCCTGGGAAGCATCCTGGAGGATGATCCGAAGACATGCCATCACAATTTTGATCCTCTGCGGAGGGGATGNTTTTTCACTTTTACCGGTTTTGTGGAAAATAGTTAATCGTGAAAAATGTGAGAGTGGCTCTTCAGATTCTTCATTTTTCTCTGCCGCGACTGGAAATACGCGAACCGTATTTATTGAGTATTTATTGAGTTTTTGATTGATAGATTTGTTTATTTACGTCGTACTACTAGATCTGCACAATGGGCTATTGACGACGGTGTGGGAAACATCCCTGAGGATGATCCGAAGACATGCCATTACAATTTTGATCCTCTGCAGAGGGGATGGCACCCCTCGCTTTTGTATCCCGACGACCTGAACGCAAAGTCGAGCACTTTACGGTAGAACATTTTAACGAGGACCCATACAGCCCACCCTCGGTCCTTACGCAGACTGATCCAAGTGATTACCCACCAGCACACTGACCACAGCCAGTGATGCTTGATTTCGGTGATCTATTGGGAACCGTGTTTTAACGATCAGTTCACTGCGGGCGCCTGAGGCTGTTAGCGGCTCTTTTCTCATCCATTTTGAAATTTTATCTTTAAGGTGGCTCTTTCTGGTAATTGGAATGGCCTTTAAAGAGAGTTTCTCCATGTAGTGGCATAGAAAAAGGGGCGACTCAAGCGATCCGCATGTGATGGCACTTTTGCATGAAATAGATGATAATTTTAAAAGTTCGAATGTTAGATTGAACACTATTTAATGATATAGAATATTAGTTCTAATATTAGGGATTCAAGAGTCCAGCGTTTTCTAACACGGCAGTATTATATTGCATCTTTCTAATGTTAAATAATATCATTTTGCTACCAGGGTAATAAGAAGATACATATTTTTTTCTGTTCATTTACAAATATTTTTCCAATGTGCTATGGATGTCCCTTCTCTAAAAAAAAGAGATGCCATTTTGTTTTCGCTTGCATAAGAAAGAATATCAAACATTTTCGTTTTTAAATTTAATAAGTCACAATCATATATGGCAGTACTTTTACTTTCGTTACTTGTACCGCCGGTACAAGTAAAAAGTACGTACTTTTACTTGTACTTCGTTACTTTTTAAATTTAGTACTTTTACTTGTACTTTCGTTACTTTTTTTGGGAAAAAGTACAAGTATTTGTAACGGAAATGTCGAATGAAATCGTTACTTTTTTCTAAAACTCGGTAAGCTTTCTAAAAAAAAATTTAAAAAAATGCTGTCAAAATGCAATTATTTTGCAAAATGAATAAAAATATTAATTTGGAAGTTATTTTCATTCATTTCCGAGTTTTATGCATTTGTTTAATACATTTTAAATAAAAATTGTTGGATTTTGTTATTACGTTTTTCAATTTTCTTTTTGANTCTTTGTAAATATTTTGTAAATAATTTTTCACTTGTTTCTTTTATTAATTTTCACTTGTACCTATAATATGTTCAATTGCGATATACCTACGTACTTAATCCAGATTATATACTGTTTTCTTTATTTTAATATACTGTCATCAGTGACTAGGCACCCCCCTTTTTCCGCCCCACCCATTATTTATTTCAATGCGATGAAAGAGCAGATATCCCCAAGGGGATAGGCACTCTGTAAAATATGATTAGTTAGTTAGTTAGTGGATGAAGACGAGAAAATTGCCACTACACCCTTTTAACATCTACCCCATATTATCTCGGAGCTTCGCTCCGAATTCACAAACTTTTTTCACTCAGATGAATGAGCTAAAGCCTTTATTATTAGGCTGGTACTCAGATTCAAAATTTAAATAGGATACAAATCAATTTATTAATATACTGAATACTTAAAACTTACAAAAGCTCTCTTTGCAATTAATTGTACGCGGAGAGCATGAATGTCATTGAAATGAAATACTAACTAACAGGGTCACCCAGTGTTGCCAAATTGGGCTACTTTTAAAAGTCCGCTACTGAAAATCGAATTTGGGCTGCTCAGTATCTTTGGACCGCTACAAATCTTAAAAATGCGCTACGTTTTTTTCTTACAGGAATATTTTTTTTAAAATTTTTCCGAAATTATAAAACTATTCCGAAAAGTGTGCAGTTTCTTTACCTTTTTTAAAAATAAAACTTTTTTTTGTTGAAAACGCATCTACTTCAGTTGTGGATTCATGATTTGTTTTGCTGCTGGGAATCTATTATCTTTCCATATCTATGTATCAAATCGTAGCTCGTAAAATCGAAAGGATATATAGGTAATTCTTTGGAAACATGACATTTCGTAAAAAAAAGTTTCTTCAAATTTAAAGTCCTCAAAAAAAATTTTTTTTGTTTATTTATTTGGTTACATTCATTAATATCTTACTACAGCAGTGTAGTTTATTGACATTTTCTCAAGAAAAAAATGTAATAGAAATTCACCAAATTTTGAATGCCAGGAAAATGACATATTAGCTTAGAAGTTAAGAAAAAGTCATTTTAAGCTAATAGTAAGTAACACAACTTAAAAAACTCAAAAAAGACAAATTTGAGAAGTTAATTTTAACTTTCTTATGAAAATAAAATCCAAAAAAAAAATTTTTGTGAAAAATTTTAATAAATGTTTCAAATATAATGAAAGTGAGAGAGTAACACACACAATGAGTTAGTTTTTAATTTTACTACACTTTAATTTGCAAAAAAAAACAGTTAAANAAAAAATTTTTGTGAAAAATTTTAATAAATGTTTCAAATATAATGAAAGTGAGAGAGTAACACACACAATGAGTTAGTTTTTAATTTTACTACACTTTAATTTGCAAAAAAACAGTTAAAACAAAGAAAACAAAAAAACTTTCTAAAATTTCATTAATCTTGAAGCTTTCAGTAGAAGCAAAATGCCTGGGTAAGGAGCAGGCATTTTTGAATTTGTGATATTCTAAGAAAATTTGACACAGACTTTTTTCCCGGGCCACTTCAAGTGTTTTGCCAGCACGAATAATAAACTTAACTATCTTATCGAACTTAAATATCTTTATGACGACTTCAAAACTTCTACATAATGATAATCTTAGGAATTTTTTAATTAATTTTGTAAAAATTCACATTAAAATTAATTTTATAATAAATTTACATCGAAATTTTTTTTACAATATTATTTAAATTTAAAATATTTAAAATCTTTTTATTTTACCACTTTACGACATTCCTTAATTTATACACCCAAGCATCGTTTAAAGTCTGACAGAATTAAATTGTACAGTGATGTTCTTAGCTTATTCTTCATATTTTTAAATATCCGTGTTTTGAAAATAAAAAACCTAAAGCCTTTTGCGTTAGAAGGACCATGAATTGTTTAAATTAATTACTTTATCCACTGTAGAAAGAATCAAAAATGTTTTTGTTGTTAGGCACAGAATAAAATTGTGTATAGTAATCAATCATTAAATAAATAAATAACTTTAATTACATACGAGCATATTACAATCTTTCATGAACTGGGTATTAGGTTAATATTTGTTTTCCCTCTCTTTACATTATAGTTTTCAAAAAAATTTTTTATAACTGTGTTAATGTCCTGGAACTTATATGCCAGGAAAATGGCAGCCAGGATAATGGCAATTTCGCCATTTTACAGCATTTAACATTACTTTAAGATTTTTGCCTAAGACGTTTACTTTCTGCAGAAAACATCAGGATTTCTTGAAATAACTAATGTAAATGTAAATAGTTTATTATTAATGATTTCAAGAGCATAGACAATTTAAAAATGACAATTTAAAAACCTTCTCACCCTGTAAAATTTTTTGAAATACATTTTGACTCGGAAAGTTGGTTCTTTATTCCTGCAATTAGACATGTTCTGATAGTATTCTAATCAATCTCTTAACCTAAGATATTGATTGCTGGCGCTATCTATTTTGGCTATAAATTACTAAAAAAACTGCCAGGAAAATGACTGACAAATTATTGACAGAAAAAATTATTTTCAACGAAGTTTTTGGGAATAATACCCTCTGCATGTATTCTAGAAATGCTTACAATGGTTGAGATAAAAAAAATAAACGAGATATTGAAAAATTTATGGGAAGCTTTGAAGCTAGTTACTATTGGAAATATTGTTTAAGACATACCAGGAAAATGACATTTTGATATTCAATTAAATATTTTAACTATACAAAACAGTCAATGCTAGTGCAAAGTCATTTTAAAATGCTAACAGCTATGTTATTTATGAATTTTTTTTAAAAAAAAGTTCTTTTAGTAGTATAGTATTAGACCTTGGAGCAAGGGACTGTGAATTGTCATATTTCTTGAGAATCACCCATAGATGGTAAAATGCACGGCGAGTATGATGGAAAAAAAAATCTTTAAATCCAACCATTATTAACCGTTTATCTCCCATAAAAATAAATCACGTGACCTTTAATCTGAGTTAAAACGAAATATTGAATTTGACTATTTAGTGTATATATATATATATATATATATTG